TCCCTTTTATATAAATCATACTTTCATCGGTCAATAGATGAGAGGTGGAGTAAGATGATAAAAATACATCACTAATCTTTACTGATACAAGTGTCAAATCGTTGGTGTTGAATTTAAATATGGCATCATCATAAAAACTTGTTATATAAGTATTTCCATCACTATCACTTGTGTATGTTGCAGAACTTATAGAATTAGTCTTTAATTCTGATTGTCCATCAAAGTTTTCAGGAGTCCATGTATCAAACGAAGCTATATTTATTGAATAAATTTCAGGTCCATTTTCCATATAAGAATATCTTTGGCCACCTAAAATATAAAGCTTGTCTGTTCCTAATGCCAGTGATGCTTTTTGAAATCTTGGCACTGGGAATTCTGACTTTAGAATAAGTTCTTTTATTGGTGATTCTGTCTGATTGAGTGATGTGAGTGAAAACTGTTTAGATAAATCTAGACTGAATGTTTGATTCGTGTATTCAGATCTATTATTAGTTCCTCCAAGAAAATAGAGTTTATCATTTATTATGATTGAACTTTGATGTGTTAATTTCAATGATTGAACAGATACCAAATATCTGCAACTATCCAAAATCAATAAACTAAAAATGATTAATTTAAGTTTCAATAAACAATTATGATTTATTAAATTAACCATTTTTAAAAAATAAAATAAGTTGTGAAATAGAGAAACTTGATTTTTTCTTATGACCGTTCATTTTTATATCAACTATTTGTTTTCTCAAAAAATCACAAAATTAATGAATTCTAAATAATGGCACAAAATTAATGAATCATGTTCTAAAACACTTTCCATGCTTTAATGAAATCCTTTATTGTTCTGTCGTTTTTGCTCTGCTCGTGATTCTAATCTGGTTAGTGATACGTTTCTCCAATATTATTATTTTCTCTCGTGCTCTCTTTGGCATCATTATTCAAATTCTAAATTGCATTGTTTTTGCAGATCCAAAATTACACAACTTTGCAATTGGTAATTCGAAAATAGCACCAATAGTAGGCCAACTCGGACTAGATTTATGCATAACAAACAAAAAAACAAACAATAGAAAATTAAAATTGTTGGTTTGTGTTTATGATACACACAAAAAAATCAATTTTGATCGGATTAACTATTTCGCAGGGTCGAGACTTAATTAACTGATCAAATCTTATTATAATCAAATCATGAATCAGTTTAACATCATAATAATTGCAAAACATAAAACATAATACATTTGTGCTGATGTTTTTTCTTGGGGTTTTACCATCAAATACAAAGACGTTTACGTTGTTAAATATTATTGTTTTTGCTGCAAAACGGAGCACAGGCAAGGGAAAATGATTTTTAAAGGTTGAATAAATGAATGGTTGGGTAAAATATTACGAGCGAGAAGATTGATTAGAAGACGAGAGTTGGATTATTTACACAAAAGTTTAAAAATTAACGTAATACTGATGATTAAATGTATTAAGCTGTACAGTTTATTTTTCGATTTTATTACGTTATATTTGTGTTTATTTTTTATTCTATGTGGAAAAAAAGTAAATCAATATTGAATAATCATACCAATTATACTAATTTCAGCCTTTAATATAGTAAGATGGATGGGATCGAATAAGTGTAACAAT